AAAAACATTTAATTTAAAAAAAAAAAAAAAAAGCTTACGATAGATAGGTTTACAACAACAGAAAAAAGAGAAAAAATTTAACCAGGAGCTGCACCTGAGGCTGCTCACGTACAGCCTGATAACTTCCTCTTGGGATGTGGTTCCTTCGTTTCGAGGTTTGGGGTCATGGTTTCCTGGGACATCCTAGTTAATTGGCCTAGTAATGTGCTTAGTGCATCTGTTCTACCTCCTAGTTCCTTGTGTAGTGACTGGGGTCTTAAAGCTTGCAAACTGCCATGCAAGGTTTCTGTTCACCTGGAGCCACAGTGGCAGGAGACTCAAGAATAGGAGAAGGGTATGGTGTGGTGCTATAGGGTGACTACTGGCCAGCAAGGTCAGTTTCAATCACAAGGTCAAGCATTCAAGCTCACCAGCCACTCCCTGGAAACCCTATACAGGGTCATAATGAGTCAGTACTGACTCTACAGCACTTAATAACAATGACATGGAATGGACGGCTAATTGCCTCCAAAAACAACTGCTTCTTTTGCCATTAGACCAGAAGCATTAGATGGTGCCCAACTATCATTACTGATTATTTTGATCAAAGATTCCATAAAAGAATCCTGGACAAAAAGGGCAAAAATGGAGACCAGAATTTTTCCTGGGCTTTTCTGGAGCCCTGGGGACTGGAAGAGCCCCTAAAACTACTGCCCTAAGATCATCTTAAAATCTTACACCAAAAATATCCCCTGCAGTCTTCTTAAATGGCACAAACTGTTAAGCTGAACTAGTAACAAAGGTCACCTTGGTGCAGAACTCTCTTTGAAGAACTGTCTATGTGTTGTTAAGTGCCATCGCGTCAGTTCCAACACATAGTGACCATGTATAGGGTTTCCAAGGAGCAGCTGATGGGTTTGAACTGCCGACCCTGTGGTTATCCCACAACACCACAGAAGAGCTCCAGAACGATCAATGTTGTTGTTGTTGTTAAGATGAGATGTGAACCTAAGGGGGCAGTGAGCTGATGCTAATGAGAGGAACCACTCAGAAAGGGAGAATGAGAAGGGCTGCGTGAACTTGAGGAGTGGCGTCAGTGTCACCAGCTGTACACGGGGTATCATAATGCGACGCTGTGGGTCAAGCGCTGGACCACAGGTCACTTTAAACCACAAGATCAGAGGTTCAAACTCACCAGCCGCTCCTTAGAAACCTTATATCAGGTTGCTATTAGTCAGAACTGACTCAAGGACACTTAACAACAACTGCACATGTAGAAAGCACTGAACTGTCCTGATGTGGATATTCTCAACGTGTGTGTGTGTGTGTGTGTGTGTGTGTCCCCACAGTCAAGGTCATTGTCATTCACAGCGACGGCAAATCTTTACAAAAACAGACTCCCACATCTTTCTCCAGAGCGGCTGGTGGATGCAGAGCACTGACTTTTTGGTAACCAGAAAGTGCTTTAACCACTCTGCCACCAGGGTTCCTTGAAAGTCAGACACAACCTGAAATTTTCCATGGTCCCTGCACAGGGACCGTCACATCCTTCTCTGGGCACTGGCTTCTGCATGAGTTCACACACCTCAAGCTCTGCTGTCTGCAAACGTGGGAAATCAGCGGAGTCGGGCAGCGAGAAGCAACCCATGCTGCTGGTCTATCTCTGTCTCTCACTTTATTGTGGAAAAATAGAGAGGGCAAAACATTTGCCATTTCAACCATCTTGACGTGTATAAATTGTGTTCACCATGTAGTGGGAGCATTTCACCATCCTCAACAGAAACTCAGTACTCACTTCCCCTTCGTGCTCCCCGCTGCCCCCAGTAATCACTTTGGATTTTTTTTTCATACAAACAGGATTTGCAGTCATTGTCATTGGTGTCTGGCTTATTTCACTCCGCAGAATGTTGCCAAGGTCCCTTCATGCCCTAGCAGATATCAGAACTTCATTTCCCTTTACAGATGAGTAACATTCCATCGTATGGGTATAAGCTGGGCTCTTTCTTACCTTCTCTCAGGGACAAAATGGAGAAAATATCAAGGGCTAAGCAAACTCTCTGGCCTCAAATGCTGCAACCACCCAGAAAGCATTCCCAACACAACGCTCCAGAGAGAAACAAGGAGCCACTGCCTTCAGTGGGGCAAGCCATTCAATGAGTGATAGACCCGTGTTCAAAGAAGGAAGGTGGCTTCATCCAACAGAAGAGACCTGAGGCTAGGGAGAAAAAGACCTCTACCCAACACTAGTCCAAGAAGACTCAGGTGGAATGCAATTCCAAGTCCTCTAGCTCCTAGTTCTGTTGTTGTTGTTAAGTGCCGTCCAGTTGGATCCAACCCACAATGACCCTGTATAGGGTTTCCGAGGAGTGGCTGGTGAGCTTGATCTGCCAACACTGTGGTTTAAATTGACTTTGCAGTCCAGCGAATTCACCC